AGCCTGCGAGGATTGTTGACGGAAATCCACTCGTCTCTCATATGCTGAAGGCTCATGTTGGAGTTGACGACCAGAAGTTCGTTGGCAAGAGTTACCGGCTGAACAGATTCCCAGGAATTCGACTGGATCGAGCAGTACTCGAGCTGTACCCCGTTGCTCCTAGCAAAGGCTGCCAAACGTTGCCCGGCCACAAAGGCCTCGGGCACAGTGACAAGATCGATGCCTGTGATCTTGAGCTGTGGAGGACCTTCCGGACGTACTGAAAAAGCCTTGATCAAGGAAGGCCACTGGCGACCGCAATGAACCCCATAGTCGATGATATGAACTTTGTTGGCTCCTGCGCAAGCACGCAATATGACATCGTTGGCAAAGTTGACTACTATTGCGAACAGCGGCAGCCTCGCATCTGCCACTAGCATTCTTGAACTAATTCCAGCCGAAATCGCCCTGTAAGCTTGAGGCCCTGTCCCTGCTAATCTGGCCGCAAGCGCATCAATGAGAAAACGAGCTACCTTCTGCAAAGGAGTTGATTGCAATGCAACTGCATCCCTGATGTCTCTTGCCAGATCATAGAAGCCTGCAACATTGTTTGCAGCTACAGCTCTCGCACACTCCATCAAACTACTGTGAATGTCTGTAGTCCTCCCCAAATTTACCTCAAAGCCGGATGATTGATCACTACCCTCTGTCGAGCTATCACTGCTTTCACTAGGAGAAACAATTGCCGAGAGCTCGTCGAACAAACCTTGAAAGGAAGGCTTTTGTTGCTGCGCCGAGTCAGCTTCTCCTTCCCCTTCGTCTTCCAGCAGCATCTTGGACAGATAGGCCAGAGTATCTCTCGAATCATGCAAAGCATCGCGCTTGGAGTAGCCGATCTTAGCAGCTGGCTCGAGCTCTACCTGATTCCTGTAGAGAACTCTCCTGAGCTGCGAGACTAGATCCTCGCCCGCCGCCTCCATGTCGCCGCCAAGAGACCTGAAGTAAAAAACCATAGAACTTGTGAAGCAAAGCCACAGATTAAACACTAAGAGAACACGTGAGAGAGTGGAACACTAGAAAACAACAAAAGTGGTTACCGACACTTCACCAAAAACTTTCCCAGACAACAGCTGGAAGAGACCTCCAGCAAAACCTTAGCTTGGAATATAAACAAAGGAAGAACAACAAGAACCACAGAAGAAGCCGTGACGAGGAACAATGATCCCCTAAAAAACAAGATCGAAGCCAGATATGATCGCGCGCACTGAACGGGGACCCAGCGCTTCGCGGAGCGTAGGAGCGCAGCTCGACAGTCGACAAACCCTAGAGCTTGAAAATATTTCCCCCAATTTGCTACGACCTAGAAGCAAAGCCGTTCTTCCTGTACCAAAGTGGGGTCTTAGGCTAGATTCCTGGGTGGATTTTCGCAGAAATTCCACTGCCAAAAAGAGCTCTCTTTCCTCTCACCTCCATTTAGTTCTTCCCTCCCCAAGGACGCACAAAGAAAGGCCCCAATGGAGGAGGGCAGCAAGAACAGCAGGCGCTACATTCTCGCCAAATGGGCGGGATTCGTCTCGGCAATCTGGGTCCAGGCGATCGCCGGCAACAACTATGGCTTCTCCAATTACTCCGTGGCGCTCAAATCCATCGGCGGCTACAACCAGGTGGAGCTCAACAATCTGGGCGTCGCCAAGGACGTCGGCAAAGCCCTAGGCGTCGTCGCCGGCTTGGCCTCTGATTTCCTCCCCCCCTGGCTCATCCTCTTGATCGGCTCGCTCGACGGCCTCATCGGCTATGGCGCGCAATGGCTCGTCCTCAGCAGGAGAATCGCGCCGCTACCCTACTGGCAGGTCTGTTCCATTCCTTGCCCTGCCTGGCTGGATACTTTGCTAGGAATGGTAGATCGCTCCCTTGTTCTTGCTCGATTTCTTCCAATCTGTCCTTCCTTTTTGGATCTTTTGCTGGAATTCTAATGCTTCTCTCGTTCTTGCGCTTTCGATCACTCTCGTACGATCTCGCTCCTGGCAGATGTGCGTGGTGCTGTGTATGGGCGGCAACAGCACGACCTGGATGAACACCGCGGTTCTAGTCACCTCCATTCGCAATTTTCGCTACAATCGCGGCCCGGTGGTGGGGATTCTCAAAGGATACATTGGCCTCAGCACCGCGATCTTCACCGTGCTGTGCTCCGCGCTCTTTAGCAACGATCCGGCCAAGTTCGTGCTCCTCCTGGCGATCATCCCCTTTGCGGTGTGCATCGTCGCCATGATCTTCCTCCGCCCGGTGGCGCCTGCCAGCAGCAAGCCCGAGCAGGAGGAGGAGCGCCGGGGCTTCTTCTTCCTCAACTCCATGGCCACGCTCCTCGGCGTCTACCTCCTCTTCTACGACTTCCTCAAGTTCTCGGGAACCATCGCCGCGATCTTCTTGCTCGTCCTCCTGCTGCTCCCGCTCTATCTCCCGGCCAAGCTCCTCCTCTTGCCTCGCAAATCGATCCCCCAAGATGTGGAAGCGCCGACAGGGGGGAATCTCGATCAACCATTGCTACAGCAGCAGCAAGTACAGGGGGAGCAACCGGGGCAATCCTCGCCCCCCTCGATCGATAAGGACGATCTGGCGAAGAACCGTGGAGAGCGGATCATCCATGGCTCTCCAAAGCTCGGAGAAGATCACAACGTGCTCCAGCTCGTCAAGAGGTACGAGTTCTGGCTGCTGTTCGTGTCGCTGCTCTGTGGAATGGGATCGGGCACGGTGGTGATCAACAATCTCGGCCAGATTGGCGAGACGCTGGGCTACAAGGATGTCGGCACCTTCGTGTCGCTCACTAGCGTGTGGGGATTCTTTGGCCGCATTGGATCGGGTCTCGTGTCCGAGCACTTCCTCAGGTATGGATAGAAACTTACGAGTTTTTACGAGTGCCAAGTTCTCACGAGTGTTTCCATACGCGCAGATCTTCCGGAGTGCCACGGCCGGTCTGGCTGGCGGCCTCGCAAGTTCTCATGATCGTCGGCTTCGTGCTGCTCGTCTCGGCGCTCCCCGGCTCTCTTTACATCGGATCGAGCATCACCGGCCTCTGCTACGGCGTCCGTCTCGCAGTCACCGTCCCGACCGCGTCCGAGCTCTTCGGCCTCAAGTACTTCGGCCTCATCTACAACATTCTCATCATCAACATCCCCCTGGGATCCTTCCTCTTCTCGGGACTCCTGGCGGGATTCCTCTACGACTACGAGGCCCAGAAATCTCTCGGCGTTGTCGCTAGCGCTGCTCCCTCGATCTCCAACCCCGGATTGTGGAATGGTCTGCTCCAAAGCTTTGGACCTTCCGGGAGGGCGTGCCTTGGAACGCGATGCTACAGGCTCACGTACGTGACGATGATCGGCATTTGCGCGCTGGGGTTTATCGTGGACACGGTGCTGGCATTTGTCACCGTGCCGCTCTATCGCAAGCTCAAGAACACGTTCGCGATCAAGAGCCGGTGATCCGCCACCTTTTGTTTGTATGATGTTTACGGTCAAGAGCCCTAAAAACAGAGTCCCTCCAATTGCTAGGACGAATGCCACCAAAGGCGATCGTCACCACTGCATTGAATGGAATCAGAGCAAGATGATTGACATGAGGGGGGGCTCACGCCCATGGCCTGGGCCATGTCGTACAAAAGCCGCGCATTGTTCATGAGATACTCCTCTTCGTATACTCCCAGTGTCACCATTGCTTGCTGGAGCCATCGATCGTCAATCACGACAGCGCAACCGTCAATTGCATATCGCGCAGCCTCAGCTTCCCGATCCTGGGCGATTAGATGTGTGATCGACATTTCTTCCGCTTCATGGTCGATGTGATCGTTTCTTATCACCATCACTTCAGGCTCCAATTGCGACGCCTCTGCGCGGTCCCTGTCGCTGCCCGGGCTGACATCGATGCTGGAATTGGAATTGGAATTGGGCTGTAGCGATTGGTGATCTTCTTCTTCCTCCTTGGAATGATCGTTGAGAAGAAATTGGTGTGGGAAATTGAGCTTGTGGAGAGGGCCGTGCGATTCGACCAGCGCTTGATCGTATGCCATCGCCGCGCTCTCGGGGCTGTGGAAAGTTCCCAGCCACAGTCTCTGCCCGTCGGGCCTGCAGAACTCTGCGACCCATTTGCCAAAGCTTCGCAACCTCACGCCCCTGTACTTTTTCTCCTTGCTCCTTTCAGAATTGCTATGGCGCGACATCTTCTCCAAAAGCCTTGGAAAGCTCTCAATCTTGTCTATAGCTGCTACTCTTCTGGACGTCCCAGGAACTCCAAAACATACTCGAATCATAGAGTACAAATACACTTCGATGCTAGAAGATCTATCTCGAGCTGCTCCAGGTTTTTGGGCTTCCAAGCAGGTATTCTTGAGAGTATACGTACGTAGAATGCTCCGGTCCACACTGAGATATGACGCAGTCGCACAGGACCAAGCACACAAAGGAGCGTAGAGCGTATGTTTTGAATGACCGTTGACGTAGGCCGTTGACCACGTTTCACAGAGTTGACTTTGTTTAGCAAATCGCCTTCTGTGGCAGATCAAACACTTAGAAACATCCAAACTAAAAAGCTCTTACGTGTTCTAGAAGAACTAGGGGAGTCTAGATGGCAAGAAAGGGTGATAGTGGTGGCAGCACCAGAGCTTGGTGGCGCATTAGTAGGGCAACCAGTGGCAATCTCATGCATCCTTGCTGCTGCTTTATCTGCAAGAAAAAGAATATATCTTGTAACATGCTTCTTTAGGGGTTTGTGATGTGGAAAGCTTGCTTAGAAACGTACCACATTCACCAGTTGTAATTTTGAGCTTCAACACATTGAAGTGTAGCCCATAACTCCATTCAAATAAATCTAGATCCAAAAAGCCAACTTGTTCCTTCTCCGTCCACCTTGAGCGAGAAAGGGAAGAACAAGATTAACAGAACCATCTAACAAAATTAGAGGTATTGGTAGTGGCTCGTGGTATCTGAGATCTTCCAAAGATCATGAAATGTGTGTCGACAACAACTCTCCTTCTAAGGCGCAGCATTTTAGGGTTCCTTTGGGATGTTTTCCCTCCTCTTTCCCTGGAGCAGTAGCATTGCCACCGGCAATGCGAGGTATGTGCATCGATGTGGCTGTGCGGCCGAGAGCGCTAGCGATGTAGCCTCCTCTTGTCCGGAGGATTTGGCAGCGAGGATTGCCGGCATTTTGCCAAATGCGAGGCTAAAGAAGTCGCTCGAAACGCGCAAGCTGAGACGAAGCGTGGGCATCGATTATGGCCTGGAGAGGACGGGAATCGCTGTGACCTTCTGTGGCTTGGCTCCTCGTCCTCTATCGGTGATATAGAATTCTTTTCTTTCGTAGTTTTTTTTCTCTCTGTCTTGTTTAATAACACTTCGGTTTCTATCCTTGTTTAAAACAGGTGAGCAAACTCAAGGGTGACAATCTCATCAAGAAGCTGCTGTCTGTTGCAAAGAAGGAGGTAACAAAGGCGAAATAGATGCTTTCTTCTTGATACATATTTTCTTCCAAACTTGTAGAAAGCTGATGAATTTATAGTTGGATTGCCGAGATCATGGGACGCTCAGGAAACTGAGCAATCAAACAAGACACGCACTTTCGCGGGAAGGCTTGCACAGTATAGTGCTGAAGAGTAAGTAAAACTGGTGCATATTTGCCCTGATTTCTTGTGATCGTCTTCAGGGGTGTGAGAGTTTTCCTTCACGACGAATACATGACATCAGAAGATGCGCTGGAGTTTATGATCTACAGGTTAAGCTATGCACCCGTTACATGCCGGCTCACAGAAAAGCACACTTTGCTTCCAGGGGCAGCACCAAGAAATCACGAAGGCTCGAAGTAGATGCATATGCAGCTGTGGTAGGCATCCCGAATCAAGTGACCGCGTAATTGCTAATTTGTCAAGGCTCGTCTCATGCAGATTATTCTACAAACATATTTTCACAACGACGGCCGCTTTGCGCAGCTGATGGTCCCCAAACGTGGGGAGCTCCAAGAGACACTCTGCTCCAAATATTACCAGAGGTTGTCTCAAATTGAAGAAGACGAAGACGAAGATGAAGACAACGAGGAACTGTAAAGATTTCGTTATTTTTGCCCCTATGAGTTGTCTACGAGTTCAATAGCTCCTAAGCTATGACAGCACGCGCCGGATACTTACAAGACTATCTTATTCTGTGATTGGAAATTATCGCCAAGGTCTCCGGTTTTTACTTCTAAGTTATCATATTTTGGACAGGCTTTAAGCGAATTTGTCGATCAGAGCTCTCTGTAAGAAATTTGGCTTCCATTTTTCAACTGAGACTCACTCCCAGCCAACAAAGACTGATACAAGAGACCAGAGCCACATCTTCAGTAAATAATAGTCGTGTTAAAAGAACTGGACATAGCTGGCTAATTTCCTCCCAGTAATCATCTTCTTCCACAAGATCTCCTAGCAGCTTATCTTCCAGAGTCTGCTCCAGTCGCTGTTAGTCTTCGCGAAAAAGCTTTGGTGACCGACGCCCTTGCAGCAACTCCCACTCGGCTCGTTTTGAAATCAATAAACAAGAACCCGCTTTTGCTACCTTTCATGATGTGGCGAAGCCTGAGGTCGCCATGGAGAACACCATGGTTGCACATTTTCACCAGGCTACCAAACGAGAGAGAGAGAGAGAGAGAGAGAGAGAGAGAGAGAGAGAGTCTTTATTTTGACTTTTGTTTGGTAAAGTATTTTATCAATGCTTTAACTACCTTGAATAATGTTTTGCTCAGCTCCCTAGTCTGAGAGAGCAATGTAGACATTAAATGTTTGTTATTAAGAATTTTTTATTTTAACTTCTTTGAAATATGCACACATCCAAATAATTTTAAAGAAATATTCAAATTTGTTTATATTAACCACTTGCATTTTATATCAAAATTTGGAATGTTCATGAGGTGAGAAAGTTTTTCTCATCTTCTAGCCATCAACTTACTGAGATTACAGTTTGCTGGAGGAACTTGCTGGGTGTGGAAAAGAACGGTCTCGTCCGAATCCTCATCATTCTCCAAGACCCAGTGAAGTCGTATAATGTTTAAACAAGGACATGAGCACAAAACTCTTAATCCTTTGTGATCAGTGAAAAGTTCCTCTTAGAATCCTCGAGAACGCCTTCATTCCTCGATCGATGGTGGAGTTTCGGAGTGAAAAAGCCGCGACGAGGAATTCTTCATTGAGAAAGAGCGTAATTCTTCATTTCCTTGGCTGGAATCTGGATTTTGATGAATTCGTCGCAGGGATTGATACAATGCCGTGAAAGAAATCTAAGCTCGCCTGGAAATTGCCACAGCATCGCAGCGCAATCCGGCATCGCGCTCGGCAGTGGTGAAGCACGGCTCCCGGCGGAAGCAGCGACATTCCAGGGAAACGCGATCGATGGAGCGCGGATGGCAGATGATTCTCTGGTGACAAACGACTAGAATTACTCGCGCTAGTGATTTTCTTCTAAGGTTTTTACCTGGGAGCGATGCATGCTAGATCACCGATCGATGGAAGGACGGCGGCGCTGGCGCCAATGTATATGCATTAGGGAGGAGCGAAATCTTTGAGTGATGGCGCAGCATCGGCAATCTCGTCCAAGGTTTCTTCGCAGTGCGAGATCAAACAAAGTAACCATGGCCGCTCCAGTGGACGATGAACAAGGTGGCTCCGGTGGACGATGAACAAGGTGCATTGGCATTTCTTTCCGAGGTTTAGCTTTCCAAAGAAGAAAATCGCGATCTTTGTTTGTAAGGTCTTGGATCTACGCGCAACACACAATTGCTGGGCTTACTTCTTTTCTTTTTCCTTCTACTTTTTCTTGTTTCAATGTTTCATTTTCTTCCAGGTTAGATCAAAGAACGCTATCATTTTAGCTATGATGGAGAGCCTGAAGGAATTATAGGACGGCTAATCTATGGTGCCATAGAAAATTCTGGTGTGGATGGAGTTATGGCCGTTGTTACAAGGTACCTATCATCTTTTTTCCAAACGAAAGACCAAAAGCTAATTGAAAATCTAGGTACTTTGGTGGAACGAAGCTTGGAACTGGAGGACTCGTTCGAGCTTACGGAAGAACCTGGTTCTCAAGCTTAGCTTTGATCATCTTGGAGATGTGTACCCTCTCGTAAGCATTGGTGTTATTAGTTTTGTGAATCCAAGCCAAGAGCATTAAAGAAAGCTATGACGAAGACAATGAAAGTAGCAGTGTAGAAATCCAACTCTCAGGTGAGGGGAAGAACCTCAAAGCTCTCTCACCGGAGGCATCACAATTCAGCGAGCTACAACAACGAAATCCCAGTTATTTTTTTCTCCTTTACTTATAAGGTTTAGAGCTAACTAGATTTCAAAGCTGATCTTGGATCATATAAAACCTCTCCAAGGATCCGAAGCTCACTTGGTTTGCAAGTTTCTCGTTGCTATTTTGTAGACTTTCCTTGTTCTTTTCATTTGGTGATTTAGTCTTTGCACAGCTCGCTCATCCAGTGCAGGGATGCTGCCATGCTGATCCATTTGTCAAACAAGGAGCAAGAGATGAAGGCAAGTCTCTCTTCAATGTTTTATTCTTCAGTTACAAACGTGCTGGCACTTCAGACTCTCGTCCACAATTTGAAGCTTTCTTTGAGGCCTCCAACGCATCAGGTGCTCAAGCATTCTCCAGTCTAGCTAGATCTTACAACTTCCATACATGCAGAATGTACACGTACAAAGGTTAGTGTGTTTCATTCAATGGTAACACTATCTCAAGTTGTGACTTCCAAAGTCTAGAATTGCAGAAAAGAAGGTGAAGGACCCGATCTTGCTGCTATCCAGTTCACTCTGCACAGTGAAATGGCAATATAGACAAAGTGTTGTATGGATGAAGAGAAAGGAGGGTTTCTTTCTTTCCCGTATAGGACTTCTTTAGTCATGTCTTACAAGGTTTTGATACATGCCCAGGCTGATAAGATTGCCTTCTGATTTCAGAACCAATAGAAAATTCTTGTTAATAACGTGAACATTATCTTTGATTTAAAGTGGTACTTTGATCTACTCTTATGGAGTTTTCTTAAGAAATTATACACTAAACATGAAAGGTTTTGTGTTAATTTTGCTTTTTTCTATCTTGGTTGATTGTTTCAAGTTTTAATTTGATCAACAAGCAAAACTTTTGTGATGATTTAATTTAAAATTGAAAGCATCATTACATTTAATTTTCTTGAATTCATTCCTCCACAATATCATTATTTCATCCTTTCACTTTTGTTTTTTAGCTTGAAAATCTTATTCAAACTTAAAAGAAAAATCAATTTCCCAATCTATTGCCTCTAGCTCCTCCTCCTAAGAATCCTTTTTAAGCACAAGATCCTCATTGTCCATATTCTGGATGATTTAATTCATTTCCTCCTCATCAACTTGAATTTCTGTTGAGCCTTCTTTGTGTTCTGATTGCTCTGAAACTCCTTAAACATGAAATTTAGCATCTCCTTGTCATCCATGTCCTTGAGATTTGATGGTAAAATTTCAATCATCTCTTGGTCACTTATTGGACTTTCTGCCACATTAGGGAACACAATAAGGGTGTGTTCCTCCTTATTTACAACTTTATTCTCCTCAAGCAATGCCATGATTCTATCCATCTCCATGTTATCAATGTCAAAATCTTCCATGTCCTCCAAGCTTTATTAGTCTATTAACCATAACCACTCTGACTATCATTGGTTGGCAAACTTGTACTTTTCAACTTGGAACTTCTTGTTCTAATATGCTATGTCAACTTCTTGAGTGCTTCATGTAGGTGGGCTTTGTTTTTCCACCATAGGTGAATTTTTTCTTCCACTGACTGCAATGGTACTTTGGCTAGCTAATGTTATCATTGTTGAAATAGTTGAAATTAGTTGAGTGCTGCTTTTTTAAGTATATTTTCAACTCACTCTATTAGAAAGATGAATACTCAAACAGTGCGTAATTCTGGAGAAGATGGAACTCCTTTTACACCTTGCTGCTCTTTGCTACTTCTCTATTGAAAGTACAATTGAAACCTAAAATATTTCCTTTTTTACAAGCTTTAAGGGATGAAATGGGGTTGAATGTGTTTGAAGTTTTGGTAAAGGGAGTTTTATTAAACATCTTTCAATTCCCACCTTTATATCTGTAGAGAGTGGAGAGAGCGAATGGAATAGTTGTTGGCATTCACACACAGGGGGAGAGAGAGAGAGAGGTCTGCTCGTTTTGCTCGGACGCTCTCCACGCTCGTCTCCCTCGTCCGAGAGAGCAATGTAGACGAAGAAGCTGTGCGTTTGAAGCCTCCAGGGCAAGATTGTTCCATCGGTACTCGCCGGCTTCCTCACTGTGGTTCCTCAGGTCGAAAGTTTTGACCCCTGCCTTGTGTCTACGCACAGCTCCCTCTAGCGCGGCCCTGTAGTTGCCCACGCAAGCCATTCGCTGTTTGAGTCCGAGCTCCGCCGGGAGTGCCGCCAAGTCGTCCACGCTCACCTTGCGACCGCGCAGCAGCAAGGCACCAGTTCTCTGGACAGTCTAGCCTTGGCATGATCTCCGCTTTTGTGGCGGATCATCATGCTTGATGATAGCATGATGATCCGCCACAAAAGCGTAGAATTGCAGCGGCCGCTCCGTCACATCGATAACCGGCGAGCATTCGAGGCTTGTATCCCTTGGATCCAACGAGGGACGGAGGAATTCTGTCTGGTTGTAGTTCGTGAGGAAGCCATCCACCACGATGCACCCAAACTCCTCCTGGACGAAGCCCATGCATTTTGATCTTGCAGTTGTTGCTTGGATTCCCCAGACCACTGCCACAACCCTTTGGCGACAAGACTCTCGACAAGAAGCTGCTGGCCCTGGCAGCCGGACGAGGAGTAAACTCCGCTTTGCTCAGCGAGAAGGTTTTTGGAGTTTCAGGGTTTTGGGTTTAGATGATCCATTTGACAGTCTGCTCCTTTACAATGTCGGCATTCTCCAAGAGTTCGTCCAGCTCCTGCTCAGCCCCGGCCTCGGCGCATACCACCACTGCTGTGCTCCTCGGATCATACTCTAGATCATCCTCGTCCCATAGTTCCTGGAACGATCCAACTTGGCCGTCCCATTGATCGTTGGCAGCCTCAACCGAAGTGCAAACTTTCACCTTCTTCTTCTCCCACTCTGCGAACTTTTCCTGGAAACACAGCACGATCGAGCTTATGGATCATTTTGGATAGAGTTCTACCTTGTACGCTAGTAGTTCTGGCCTTGGAGCTACGTAGAAGAGCCGGACGTCCCGCCGCAGCCGTAAGTTGAGGCTACTCACATCGGCATCTTTCGTCTCGATCAATGCCTTGGCCGCGGCTATGCCTTTCCCCTGCGCGAATATCAACAGCGTTGGATACTGGGTGATGAAAAGCACTGGCCGCAAGTCCATCCCGCTGGAGTCGAGTGGCCCCAGCTCGATCTCATCTCCTGCAACCATAAGAAGCTGCTAGAAATGAAAGATCAAACCAGGAAACTCAAGAACCTTGTTTCAATCCATAAAACTCCGGTGCTTCCGACTCGGTGACGTGAAGCTGGAGGGGACTCTTGACGGAGAGGAAGAATTGCGGAAGCTTTTGCGTGCCCGAAGGAACGTCGGCTCTGGCCTTCATGGTGACGGCATGGTTTACTTCCCAGGAGAAGGGAGAGCTCGACACTGGGACCTTGATGGAGCTCTCTTGGCCAAGGAAGCGAACTTGGGCCATTTGTCCAGACTTTGTGTATGCTTGCTCCCGGGGAATAAACTGGCACAGTGATCAAAAGAAACTCGCATGCTACAGTGGTCCCCCAAAAGAAAATCAGGAAGAACTTCCATGCAAAGAGTGCAAAGATAGATCAATGCTTCAAACTTGAAAATGCAAAGATGAAAAGTTGGAATGAAATGGAAACCAGCCATGGCAAAGAAACGAATGAAAGAAAAAAAATTGGAAGTACCTCTCTGGAGCACTCGGCGTCGACAGTGATGCATCGAACACCTTGAGCAACATCCGCGACCTCGATCACAGCAGCAGCACGGAAATCCCGCTCCTCCATGGTGGGAACCTTGGCGATCTTGAAAGAGGCGCTCCCTACCGAGTTCGTGACCACGGTGTCGAATTCAGCACCCATTCCCCTGCCAATGTCCCCCGCGCTCGCTCCACCGCTCGGGCCCTTGCTCACGTCCCTCGTCTCCCTAGGGCCCCTCTTTGGCGGAGCAGCTTCCGCCGCTGTGGATTCCGCCGCTGTCGCCACAATGCAGCAGTAGCGCGAGACGCGCAGTGAGGAGATCCTGGCGGAGGAGGAGGAGGAGGAGGAGGAGCGCGGAGATCGCATTGGGAGGCCGAGAGGCCATCGCTGCTGCTCGATTCGATGGAGAGTAGCCATCTTAGGGCTTAAGCGTTATCCAGATATTTATGTTTTGTTTAAATCAACGGAATAACAAAAAATGTAGTCAACCTTTAGGGTTTTAAAGTCAATGGTCAATTGTCAAATTTTTAGCCAAGTCTAAAAAGTTATCAGAAAAGTGAATACATGGGCTTAGAAATAACCGTCCTCTCTGTCCTGCCTTTCAGCGTCCTTGTTCGCAAGTTTGATAGCTCTAAACCATAGGAACGCCTGCAAAGATTGACAATACAATCTCAGGGACAAAGAAAAATGGGAACTTACAGAAACTGGGATGCCAGTGATTGAAAAGAAGCCCAGCACCGGTGTGTAGAAGGGACTGTCCGGTTGAATCACCCCAAACACGGGATTTTTGTTGAAGTACTCGAAAATGGAGCCGACCTGTTTGAGCAAAGCGCGTTGAACAGACTTGGAAATTCAAGAGAGTGTACCTTACAGCAGCAATGGCGACCAAGCACGAAGCCACCAGATAAACGATGTAAGGCAAATCCTGGAAGCCTTCTGAGGAGACCTGTTTCTTCTCGCCGCTAGCCCAAGGAGGAGGAACATCAGATCCCGGCTTGGCCCATTCTGGAACGCCTTTGGCCTCCTCCTGCTGCTGCTCCGAGGAAGACTTCGAAGAATCGGAGGAGGTCGTAGCTGGCCTTCTCGCCAGAGCCAACTTATGCCTCGAAAAGCCGGATTTTTCCCAGGAATAACTCCTGCTGTGACGAATTCCACCACTGGAAACTTGCAGGCATATCGACATCGAGCAGCCCCTTTGCAAAGCAAGTACCTAGTTTGGCCGCCAGGATATTTTGCTCTCTTCTCTTCTCCACGAGTTTTTCTGTCAGTCTATTATATTTCTGCTCAAAACCAATGCCATCAGACGGTTAATCGCTCAATTTTGACGTTGGGCGGAGCGAGCATGATCATAAGAAACACGGGCACCATAGCCGTGCTCAGGTGCTTCACTGTATGTCCACTTACTAGAAACCGAGTCCAGTGATAAACTCTAGAATCGAATGCTTCAGCAAGCTTGGCCAGCAGGTACATACCTGCGAACGAATGAAACACGTTGAGTTTCAGAAACAAAGGTCGAGAGTTGGTCTCGCAAGCCTGTTTTTTACCTGCAGCCCACATCCAATACCAGGACTGTGTGTATTTCGGAGGCAAAGCGACTGTCATAGCGGGGATGGCAACCGAAGGAATAAATTGCAGGAGTGCAAACAATTGCATATCGTCAGCGAACCTGCAGACGTAATCTCTATAGATTAGAAGAAGAAATAAAAGGAGAAAAGAAGTCTTTTGCATACCACCAATATGTTGCCGTTGCTGAGGCCGCTAGCAGCAACGGCACAAACGATTTTGGTCCTTTGAGCTCGTCTCGTTTTTCCACAACAAAGACAGCTACGATCGATGCAAAGGCATAAGCCATCTGTCACAAGCAAAGCTAGTTTCGCGAAGAAAAAACAATGCAAAGATGATGGAACTTACTGGCAGGCAATCCCAAACGAAGCGAGAATCACTCGGCCTGAGATGGTAATACGCTGAACCAAATGCCGAGGCCGTGATTCCAACGAAAAACCACGTCCATCCCCAGACTTCCCCTTGAGAACTATGATCCTACGTTTAGCAAAGGAAAGGAGAAAGGGAGAAAATCCATACCTGAATCCAAAGTAATTCCCTTGCGCGCACAGCACAGTTCCAATGCAGCCAATGACGAGGTAAGGGAACGTCGAAAAAACATTCAACGTGTTTGGAAAGCCTGCAGAATAACGAAAGCGAAGCTTTGACAATGGCGAAGAACGAGGTTGCAACTTACCTAGGAAATTTCTTTGATCGGCAAACGCGTGCTGTGACTGATTCTTAGTGATCGCTGGCGTGAGCAGCATGAGAAGGAAGAAAAGCAGCAGCGAAGCGCCCCACAACAGCGTCCGTTGATCCTTGTTCTCTGTCTCGGGCAGCCCCATTGCCCTAAACCCTAAATCACAAATCCTTGCATCACTAAGAGGTCATGCAATCGTCAAACACCATTTGTCTACGCAAGTCATTGAATTGTAAGGAGTGTGTACTTTCGTATCAAACAAAAAACTTTCCGAATTTCTCGTGTGGCAAAGACTCACTTCGATTTGTGTTCTAACATCGATCTAGTTTTTTTAAAGCACCCAAGAACAATCTTTGTGTGAGAGGAATATATCGGACTTCAATCATCAAATTATCAGCAATACAAAGCTTTTTCCATCCAAGTTGAGGGGTCAGTACGGTCATGAACAATGGTCGCCAAAACTTTCTAGAATCTAGAACCCGAGAATCACAGCCCGGACAACAATTGCTCCATGTAATCCACGTCGGGCTCTTGGATCTCCACAACCAGGGGAGCTTGCCTCTTGCTGGACGACTGGGACAAGGAAGAATCTCGCGCCCTCTTCCTCGTTCGCTCTTTTTGAGACTCGATCGCGCTGGTGACGGAGCTCTCGGGCGACGACGATTCGGCACGGGCGGCGGCGGCGGCGGCAGGGGTGGCGAGGCGGAGGGGGAAATTGAGCAGCGCTCGCCGTCCGCGCATCTTAAAGGCGGCCTGATCGTAGGCAATCGCTGCCTCCTCGGCGGTCTCGAACGTTCCCAGCCAGATCCGCGCGCCCTGCTTGGTGGAATCGCGGATCTCCGCCGCGAATTTCCCCCAGGGCCTCCTCCGTACGCCCCGGTACTGCCTCCGGGGCTGGCTGGCCGGCTGTACGGGCGCCACCGCCGCTGGCGGCACCGCTGCTGCCGCCATAGCCACCGCCACCGGAGGCTCTGGCTTCACATCTTGGATTGCTTCGATCTTCGTGGGGGCGGAATCGAATGGGTGCCTGGTGGCCGCCTCCTTGAGCAGCCCATAGAGCGGCATCTCCTCGGAATCGTTCTCGTTGAGGAAGAAGAGGTGATTTGGGATGCCTGTGTTGATCCGCTTCGATCCCCAGCAGGGGCTCAGCTTGGGCGACGGCTGCCACGCCGCTGGCACGGGCGATTCCATGAGGAGCGTCTCCGCCGCCATGAGGTAGTCCTCTGTGACTTGCGGCAAGCTCACTCGCAGCTTGCTCCTGGGGCCGTGATCGCAGCTGGGATTCGAGAGTGGAGTAGCAGCAGCTGGGAATCCCGCGCCGCTGCTCGCATTCTTGTCATCCACTTGCAAGAAGCTCGCCCAATCTAAGCCGCCATCATCCACGAATTCCTGCTTCACAACGCTCGCCATGCCTCCTCCTCTCCTCTCGCGGAGGCTATCCTCGATCTTCTTGGCCAGGAAGCTCGACTCGTCCGAGAACGTGAAGAAGTCCGAGCCAATGCCCTCGCAATTTAACATCTCCATGGACTTGACCTGTGAGAGAGTTAGAGCTCGCAAGCGGTGAGGAAGAATCGGCGATGCCCTGCTCTTATGTACTGGGAGAAATTTGGGCATAGGCTGCCCAGGTACCCGGAAGCTTCCCTCGTCTTTTAGCACGTGGGGTATAGCCCGCGCGCTTCGTAGGAAGCTCGATGCGCAATAATGTCTGCCACTGGTGGCGTTCTTGGCCACAACACGTGCTCAAGGAAGCTTCAACCGAAGGACCGGGTCTACCACACGAGGGTGAAGCTTCCGGGAAGGAATATCTATCTAGCTAAGGCTGACGCGTCACCACTTTTGTAAGTTTTCGTACGAGACGTACGCAAATTGCTCGCTACCCAGACATCCAAGAAAAAGGTATCTTTGATCTTGGACTTATTGGTGGTCCAACGACGATAGGAAACTATGAAACTACGTCGGTGCGGTTAGATATTTTACTTGCGTGCGTGCTGAGTGGACTGCGAATCTTTTATTTTCACAATGGAGTAATCTCACGCACGTGAAAAGCATGTCATTTAGCGGGTCTCTAGCATCCAAATCAAACACCAAGACCTTGACAATGGAGAGGTTATGACAAGGTGCTTTGAGAAACGTGGCTAGCCCTGAGAAACAGTCGCTGGATCCTCCACGATTGCCCTAAGCCCAGCACACATGTTTGAGAGGACTACGTGCGTTGCCGAGTGCTTGGGATCCAAGCCGAGCAAATGCCGGGCGATGCGAACGCCGCGCTCGCCATCTTTGTGACCCTCGCACGCCGCCAGCAATGCGCTCCACGTACAAACATCGGGCTCGAAGGGCATTGTGTTTGTGAGACTCTCGGCATTTTCCAGTTGCCCGGCCCTGCTGAGACTGTCCACCATGAAGCAGAAATGCGTCTTTCTGGGCGAGATTCCGTGATCGTAGATCATGTGAAGGAAGCATCGCCACCCTTCGTACAAGAGCCCAATGTGGTTGCACGCCACGAGCACACCTCTAAAACACAGGGCATCTGGTTTGACGCCGTGTAGATTCATGAGGTGGTAAATCTCCATGGCATCGACTCCCATCCCAAAGTTCGCGAAGGCCGCGATCACGACCGTCCACGACATCAAATGGCCGTTTTCCGGAATGGAATCGAAGAGCTTCTTGGCGGCCACGAGGTTGCCATTCTGCGCGTAAGAACCAACCATGCCGTTCCACGCCACCGCATCACGGGCGGGCATATTCTCGAACATTGCCCGTGCCTGCCCGAGCTGCCCGCTCATCGCGCAGAGCTGGACGATGCTCGTGCAAGCAACGATGCCGTGCACGGGCATGGCGCCAAAGATGTCGTACGCGTTCTCGGGATGGCCATTGTAAATGTACGCGTGGAGCATTGTGGCCCAAACGACAGCGTCCATACGTGGCATCGTCTCGAATATGGCCTTGGCCTCCTCCAGATGCCCATTAAAGGCAAATGCAGATAACATAGTCATACACGACACAGTGTCACACTCAGGCATAGAATCAAATCCACGCTTGGCTTGTGCCACAAGGCCGGATTGTCCATACGCCTGTATCATAGACGTAGAAGCGACAATTCCACGCTCGGGCATGGAGTCAAAGGTGGCTTTGGCAGCGTCAACGTAGCCATTCTCGGCATATGCTTGTAGCATCGCTGACCACGTAACAAAATCTCTCCCGTTCATTGAGTCAAATATTGTCTTGGCACGGTCAACGTCACCTCTGGACGCAAATATGGTGACCATTGCAGTGCACGAAACGGCGTTCTTTTCGGGCATAGAATCAAAAACAAGGCACGCAAGTTCCATTTGCCCGCAATCGGCATATGCCTGAACCATTATAGTCCACGCCACAATGTTCCTTTCGGGCATTGCATCAAACAGCATCTTTGCTCGCTCCAAATGACCACTGGAGGCATATGCCAAAAGCATTGATGTCCAGGAAACCAAGTTACGCTTCGGCATTGTGTCAAAGATGTGCTTGGCTTGCTCGAGGTGGCCATTCTCGCCGTACATGGCGAGGATGGCCGTCCAGGCCACTATGTTCCGTACGGGCATATTGTCAAACATGGCTTTGGCGGTCTCGATATTCCCAGCTCGAGAAGATGCTAGAATCAAGCTTGTGCATGAGACAACTCCCCACTCCGGCATCGAAGAAAAGATTCCTTTTGCCTCTTCCAGACGACCACTCTGGGCAGCTGCTGCGAGCATCGAGTTCCAAGAGACGACGTTCCAGTGGGGCATTGTTTCGTATAAAGCTTGTGCTTGATTCATTTGGTTTGCGTCGATAAAAGCTTGGAGCATTGTGTTCCATGACACAAGATTTTTCTCAGGCATTGAAGAAAAGAGCTTCCTTGCTTTCTCTATATGCCTGGAATGGGAATATGCGTGGATCATTGTCGTCCATGACACAACATTTTGCCCTGGCATGGAATCGAACACCACCTCTGCCTGTTTGAGGCAGCCGTTCTTAACGTACGCTGCCAGGAGAGCATTCCAGGAGACGATGGTCCTTTGAGATGCCGGGAATCTTTCAAACATGTCCCTGGCTTTGTGGATATACCCTCTTTGGGCATATGCCATGGCCATTGTCGTCCACGAACAGGAATCGGGGGCTGCGATGCCATCAAAGACCCGCTGAGCGTCGTCCAGGCTGCCACACTTGCTATACATCTGGAGGAGCATATTCGCCAGGGATCTATCCGATCGGAGGGCCTCATTGGAGGCGATGAGCTCGTGGATTCGCTTCCCTCGAGCAATGTCGTGGTCATCTCCACACGCCTTGAGAAGAGACGCGAGGATTTCTCCCGAGCACTGCGAGTTACTCGAGATCAAAAACTCCGAGACTGGAGGCTTCTTCTTGTTCTTCGCGAGTGATTCCAATTGGGATAGATCCAGCGCTGTGCTACCGGGAGAGATTCCCTGCCGCGTAGCGCCCATGAAATGAAGATCCCATGGAATGCTTCGAGCGCGCGAGCGGCAAAAGAAAAGGTTTGAATTTGAAAATTTGTGTTAGGCAATGGACACGTTACACATACACGTGGAATCTTAAAACCCTTGGATTGCAAGGCTAGGGCTACCATTCGCGCTCTCTCTTGGCGGAGCTGTGGAGCTAGGGTTTGAGAGCGCTTGCCCCGGATTCTCTCGCGATCTGGAATGAGATAAATCGCGCGGCGCTGGCTCATGAAGATTGTGGCCCGGCAAGCATGGGCACATCTGCGACGGCGCGCTAGCATGATCGTCTCGTCCCGGAGCTTAATCGGTATGTTCTTGCTGATGGAAATGTAGTCCATTGAGTTCTTCATATTGTAGGTGTTCCCTCAAGAAATTTTGCAAATGGATGCGTTCATCGGAAACTCTACGAGCAGGTGTTCCCTCTCGGCAGGCTTCATCATCTGTGAGTCTTTCGTGAATTCTTTTTTGGCTTTTTTTTTACGGTGGTATGCAGGCTTTGGAACTGCCGTGGGATTCACTCGGCGGCGATTAACCACGCGACTGGCGGGACGATTACTCGACTCAGCTGGGAGATGTGGTATCGACCATTTCAGGTTTTATACAGAGCGTTCATTATCATGGCGGAGGTCGTCTTGCTGAGCATCTGGCATGCCACGGAAAGGGATGTCAAGAAACGAGCGGAAAGAGTAAGCGTATAGAGAGGATGTCCCACGCTAAGCTTTACTGTTTTTCCAGCTGCGCAGGTCACTCATACGCCTTGGTCCATTTTACATCAAGGTATATTGTCAGATTTGTGAAGCTGAAACTGAGTTCTTTTCTCTGCCCATCCAGCTTGGTCAGGCTCTGAGTACCAGACCGGACATTCTTCCCAGTGTTTACTGTCACGAACTGTCAAAACTTCAGGTTGGTTTTCTTAGTGCTTCTATTTCCGCAGACGTAACACGGCTTTTCTCAGGACCAAATCCCCCCATTTCCTAGTTCTAAAGCGCTGAAGTTTATTGAGAAGGAACTTGGAGCCCGCACTTCAGAAGTTTTTGCGGAGATTAGCAAAGAACCTCTTGCCGCCGCATCGCTGGGTCAAGTCTATAAAGGTATTGCATATAAGTTTTTATAACAAGAATCTTTTTTATCATTGTTATAAACAGCCAAATTGTTTTCTGGGGAAACTGTAGCCGTGAAAGTATTGAGACCTGGTGTGCCTGCGCGTCTTGCTCTGGACGCGCGGCTGCTAAATCTTGTTGGCGGCCAGCTGCAACGTTTTACCAGAGCACGGGGCGACGTTGCTGCCGTTGTAAACGAAATGGTAAGGCGTAATTCTTTGAGGCATTTCTTTTTCTGACACGTAGTTTTTAGGTGGCTCATATGCTTGAGGAAACGGATTATCTTAACGAGGCCAAAAATACAGAACGTTTTGCAAGCCTTTATGGCATCGAGCATCCAGGTACCGATTTGTTTGCATTCATGCAAGGGTTAGTTAAAGACTCTAGTCTGTCCTACGTCTAGCTTAGTTCTTGGAATGTGTCAACGACTGAGTCACTTCTTTTCTGTAATGCCAGTCCGAAATTTGTTTCTCAGACGAAGGGCTACTAACCGGGAAAAGGAGATCGAAGAAAGGATTGGTTAAAGTCCCGAAGATATTTTGGCGTTACACTACCAAGGGTGTGCTCACAATGGAGTGGATTGACGGTATTAAACTTACTGACAGGGAGAAACTAGAAAAGCTGAACCTCGACGTTCAGGATCTCGTCGACCAGGTTTATATTGCTTTATTTATTTGATATGCTTAAACTTATTTATTTTATTTACTTTCACCAGGGTGTCTTTTGTTCCCTGAGACAATTGCTCGAAGATGGTTTTTTCCATGCTGATCCTCATCCTGGCAACCTCGTAGTGACTCACAAGGGGATTCTTGCATACTTTGATTTTGGTATGATGAGTGACTTCCCTAGGCATTACCGCATTGGTCTCATTCGCACGGTATGCTTAATATATATTAATGGGTGAATTCTGACGAGGTTGTTGCAGCTTGTACATTTCGTGAATCGAGACTCGGAAGGACTTGCTCAAGATTTTCTGTCACTTGGATTTACTCCCCACGGTTCCGACCTGAAGCCTATTGTTCATGCGCTCCGCAAGTCTTTTGGAGATGAGAAGACAAAAGCCCAGCTAGATTTTCAGGTTAGTACCCAGTTTCTCGTAAATGCTGTTGTAAAGCAAATTGATTTTGCAGGGCATAATGAGTCAGCTCTCCGATGTTATGTACGAGTTTAACTTTCGCCTGCCTCCAGAATTCGGACTTGTGATAAGAGCCTTGGGATCTCTTGAAGGAACAGCAACAACTTTGGATCCAGAATTCAGAGTTATCGAGAGTGCATATCCTTTTATTGTCGGGAGACTTCTTTCAGATCCTGAGCCGGATATGCGACAAATACTGCTGGAGCTTTTGATACGCACCAACGGCACAATACGGTGGCATCGGCTTGAGCGGCTGGTATGCAATCTTTACAAGATTTATCGGGCATCTGTATGATTCGAAATTTTGTACAGGTTGTAGCCATATCCCAAGACTCTACCCCTACCAAGCAGTCTAGACTCCAGTCATTTGACATGCGGGCTGTTGCATCCGCAGCCGATGATCTGCTCGCCTACATTCTCTCTGACAAAGGCATACGAGTGCGAATTTTGCTGGTCAAGGACATCGTGAAGGCTTTGAATGCACTTATCAAAGAAAGCATTCTTGAATTTTACGGGCTGGAAAATCAGCGAAGCAATGTCGTGGAAGAGGCACCTGACCAAGACGTACAGCAGGCACCCGAACAAGAAGTACAGCAGGTGGAGAAGACAACTTTTTTTTCTCGAATGAGAAGGTTTCCATGGATTCAAGGCCAGAAAGTACAAGCTAGGTACAAGAGTGCAGCTCCTGGTGGTCGTCCTAGAAGTACCCGAGCAAATCCTGAGCAAGGGAAAAGCAGCACGACTGTTGAGGTACGTAGTATCCATGCTAACTCTCTGAAAAAACATTTCGTTGGTTTTGTCAGGGTAAAAACTTGAAAAGTCGGGTCCAGGGAGGGATTCATGCTTTCTGGGAAGCTGTTAACACCGCCCCTGAAGTGTGGATTCCCTTACTGCTTAAGGTTGCGGCAAATCGTGAAGCACAAAAGCTCTTCGTGACGATTTTACGCGCGACGCTTGAGTCATACAACGATCAAACTTCTGAAGCTGGCTTTCTCTTCTTATCGAAAAAGCTACACGAGGATGACAAGTGAAACGTAGGGGTAAGTAGAACTTTTTTTGTTGACGTCGTATACATACAGATTCTTGAGCTGATGAGAAAATAAAGCAAAGTTTCCTTGCGAAATTCACCTCTACGTTGATTGTATTTACTTCAGACGAAACTTTCTTTGAGGTATTCTCTTTGTCAATCAGAGTCTGAGCAGATAAAACTCGCGAGGATGTTGTCGGTGCGACCTTTCACAGCAAATCGGTAAAGTCTTTGTTCTATAGGTGCGAATCCTGACTGATCGTTACTCCAGGAAGTCGTGCGAAGTTAAAAGGATCCAAAAAGCTTTCGCAAAGAAGTAGCTGGAGCGAGCAGAGACACAACATACGTATCTTACAAGTTGGAAAAGGAAGGCCCGGCGCATTCGGCAAAGATTTTGATTTAAAACCACTCACGAATATGGAAGGTCACAGGTACGCATTTGAATTTAACTCCGGGTAATCTTGACACCGATTTTTGGATTTGCTTGTTCGCGCAGCCTGGGGTTGGAAACCATCGGTGTCACGCCTTGATGAAAGGTAAGCCATTTACTTTCCAATCAATTCATTCAGCGCTGGTAGTAACGCTGTTCTAGAGATGGCTGGCACGCATCTCACGCCAGGCTGCTGTTACTAGCATCGCCTATCGCTGCTTGCCAGCATCGCCCAACGCTGCTGCTGCTGCTGCTGCTGCTGCTCGCTCAGATCATCATCAGTTCATCAAGAAATCTGTTTGTTTTTGTTCAAACTCGCGGTTTGGATCCAGGAGCTTTCTCTGCTTGGAAAAAGCTACGCAACGCTACGATCAAGGCGAAAAGAAAAGGAAGCCATTTATTTTGAGGAACGTCTTTGCAATGATGTGAGCTCGTAGGGGAGGCGAGATTGTGTGTTCGATTCGGTGATAGCGAAAGGAAGCACTGTGGCGGATATTCGTTTGGAGAACCCACTGTTCTCTAAGTGTGTGCGTCAATAAATAGAGCGAGCTTTTGTCATTCGGTATAATGGGAGGCCTCCATTTGATTGTGCGTAGCGTGATGATGTGGCCGCCAGTATGGCCCAAAAAGTGTTTTTCAAAATGGGCCGTACGGTATGGTGTTTAAATATTTACTGGGAATTCACATGTATAGTACTACTTGCGCTAGAACAGTTTTTTCCCTCCTTTGCGCCAGAATAATTTGCGCGGCGAGCGAGCGAGCGAGGGTTTCTTGCGAGGCGCCGCGACGAGTCGACGAGGCGCTGCTGCGGCGCCGCCTAGATCCGGTATGTTGTGCTCCCGGGGCTGATCAAGCGGCTCTCTCTTGGCGCTCGGGTAGCTAGAATCTACATTCTTGAGCGATGTGTTCCTCCGGCTTCTTCGTCTCCCTCCTCTCCGCCCTCGCAATGCTGTTCGCCGGCTTGTTCTTGTCGCTCCACGGCGCCTACGCGGCTCAGCCAAGATTCACCGTCGTGTGATTCGCGTTTGGCTGGATAGCGCCCCGGCAATGGCCGCATTCTCGCAGCCGGGCCGTGATCTCCAGGACAGGGACGTCAAGAAGCGAGTGAATCCCATCTACGACGAAGACGAGGAATTCTACCAGTCGGAGTCCTCTGCGAATCTGTCCAGTGACTTCTATGACGATTTGTCGCGGCCGGGGAAGATGGACACCATTTACGAGTCATTCGAGGAGTTTGTGGATTCGTCCGACGAGAGAAGCAACGGGGCCAGCTCCACGGATTGCACGAGTAGCTCCGCGCGTGTCTCAGCGGACTCTCCCACCAGCATTTTGCGACGCAGTGTGAGGGCCTGGTCAGTACGTAGTGTTTTCACTTGTTTTTCTGGGCGTTTTATTGAGCTTTCCACATGCAGGTGTGATGCTACAGGTTTGCCCACCACCGTTCACGTTGAGATAAAGGAGCGGAGCTTTGGACTACACAAGGTGGGTGATTTGTTCTTTTCGTAGGACTCTTTTTTGCCTCGAAAGCAACCGATTTTTGTTTTGTGTCGGTCTTTGTAGTTTCCTTTGACATCCAGAAGTGGCTTATTCAAGCGCTTGCTCTCGGACCAAACTTATGTGAAGCTGGGTGACGACTTTCCAGGGGGCTCCGAGGTTTTCGAGCTGATCGCAAGCTTTTGTTACGGCTCGACTATCCACATCGACGTGTCAAATGTTGCGGTTCTGCGGTGCTGTGCCGAGTTGTTGGAGATGACGGAGGAATACCGGAAGGGAAATCTGTCTGGGAGGACTGAAGACTACTTGACTCAGGTGGTGTTTAAGAGCTGGGTGGATACATTGTCGGTTCTTCAGCAATGCGCGAAGCTAGTGCCGGCGAGGGAAGCATTTCAGATTATTAGCCGGGGTATTGACTCTCTGGCAGCTGCCGTTTGCAAGGGCCTTCGACAGGAACGGGTCTCTGTAACGTCAGAGAATGACAGGTGCTCCATGGTCAAGGACATACTCGAGCTGCCAGTTACTTTCTTTGATAGGCTGGTCAATGGGCTTAGGAAGCAGGGGCTGGACGAGAAGCCGGTTAGCCAGCTGATTTTGGACTACATCAAAAGATGGGTTTTGGGAACGAAAGAGGGGACCGATGTTAAAGATGGTGATGTTCACCTTATCGAAGCGACCGTGAGACTGCTGCCTTTGGAGAGATTTCTGGTACCGATCAAAGTTCTATTGTCTTTGCACGGGTGCGCGTTTGCATGGAATGCGAGCAAGGACTGCAGGTTACAGCTAGAAGCCAGGATTGTTTCCCAGCTCGAGCTGGCCACTGTCGACGACTTTCTCATGTCATTGAGAACGTCCAAGAACAGCAGAGCTCACATGGACAGCATGCGGCAGATTGTGTCGGAATTCATGTCGCAGCAGGAAATTCTACTCGACGGTTCGGAAATGCTTCTCACTGAGCGGGAGTTGAGAAGTGCATCTTCGTACAGCTTCTTGGCCGTCTCAGCAGTCGTGAAGGTTTGGGACGAGTACCTCGCGGAGATTGCAAGCGACCCCGAAGTAGGCCCCAGGACATTTGTGGAACTTACAGAAGCTGTTCCGTCAAACATACGTCCCAATCATGATCTTCTTTACAGGGCCATCCACGCCTACTTTCAGGTAACGGTTTCTCTTCCTCTTTGCAATGCTGATGCTCTCGTTTTTCTTACAGTCACATCCGAGTCTGAGTCACGCAGACCGGGTAACCGTATGTCAAGGCCTGAATTGCCAAAAGCTGTCGCGAGAGATCTGCATGCATGCTGTTCAGAACGAGCTCATGCCCCTGCGGATGATAGTGCAAGCTATGTTTGTCCAACAGCTCGAGTCGAGAGGTGCCGAGCACCTGGACAATCCTCTCAGGCCGGTGGCCAATGTCGAAAGAAGGACTAACCCGAGCATCCCAAGCCAGGCCTTCGGACGTGAGGCCAGAGACGATGGCCTACCTCTGGGAGTTATCCTGCAAAGAGATGCGGCTTTCCGGGAGGCGGCATTCCTGAAGGATGATTTCGAGGCGACAAAGGCCAGGCTCAAGGAGCTAGAACAGGAACTGATGCGTATGAAGATGACCATGGACGTGGATCGTCCGGCCAGCAATGGCAACCATGGCGGCAGGCCCGCTTTCATGGACGGGAAAGGCAGGAAGAAGCTCGCGGGGAGCTGCATGTACCAGGTGTGGGGAGCTCAAACCAGCGGGATCAGGTTCGGGCAGCGCATCACAAAGACGTTTCAGAAGCTGGGATTGGGAAGCTTTTGGAAGCCTAGGCCGAGCGGGGCTGCGCAGCAGCGGACCAAGGATCACACCAGCGCGGGTGTAGCCGATTGTAAAGTCCGGCAATGGCAGGATGAACAGGATTATGGAAGGCAGCAACAACAGGAGCTGGAGGCTGGAACTCCGTTGCGAGCTAGCTCTTTCCGCAAGGTGGAAGGAGAGAGATCCAGCGGCGTTCTCCGCCGCCACGCCAGGCACCACTCCTTCTCTTGATCAAGAGATCTCTCACTATCTGTATCTTAATAGTATCGAAGTTCTGAGATTATTTGATAGTTGTTGACTGTTCGACTAGGTCTTTGACTAAAGGATATGCTGCACCGATTCTTTGCCCTATCCCACATGCCGGGGCGCAGAATGAGGGCACAAGAGCAGTATATAAGATAGGGCCTGAGGAAGAGATCCATACTTACCTGGACGGGGTCTATTGGTGATCATGAAGGCCAATGGCCTAGGTTCGGCTTTCCCATTGCACTACGGCTTGGCCGGCCTACCATCTTCCCAAAGTGGAGGAGTGGACGTCGTAATTTGTGGAAGTTGAGGGCTCGCGTACGCGCGGCCCTCTCCAAATTCTAAGGCCTATAAGTTGTAACTTCCAGTAGACCCCCAAGTTGTGACAATGCGGCTCGCTCCTCTCTCTGGAACCGTTGAGCAGGGTGTGTCCAATCGGCTCGGGCTGCCTCGTTGGCTGCTGCATCAACATCCCCGCCACTGGCGGCGCATACGCTCCAGAAGGTTTCGAGCCAAATTCTTGCTGGGATACCATGGAAAAGAATTTCTTGTTGCTTCTCTCGTTTCAGTGAAGCCTTGCTCTTGCTGGAGAGCGGTGCTAATCTCCACAGCCTGTGTGTGTATGTGAAGAGAGAGTAAAGATTTCGGAAACACGCCTTACCTTGCGAGCGCCTCCCGTCTCAGCCACAATGATGCCATGGACCATATTGAAACGAGAGCTCACTGATGTCCAGGTAGTCATTGTAGTCTCTGAGGGACGCGACACCAAGCATTGGCACCAAACAAGTTGTGTAATCTGGAACTCCTTCAAATGAAAAGATCATTCCAGGCCCTCCTCCAACTTATAAGGCTGGCTGGATTCAAGGCCACAGATTCATTGCGTCAATAAAACGAAAACATGTTAAACGGCACTAAACACTAAACTCTGATTCTTTGTTAGAGAAAAACATAGGGTCACTTACTGAATCAGTGACGATGGCCGGCCTCCAAATGGAGGGAGAAGTGGAAGAAAGAGCCCGAAGTTACCATGTGATCATGCAAGAAACACAAAAAGTGGATGCCCCTTGGCATGCTTTGTATCCTTCTTGTAAAATAGTTTCTTGATCACAAGACTATAGAACTTAGGAAAGAGAGAAACCACTTTCTTGCCTTTCAATCTAGTTGTTTAAGAGCCACGCAAACAAACTTTTGTTCGGTTGCTTCAATCCAGCTTTACAATTCTCCTGCTCATAGATTTTTCTTCTCTAGTTCCTTGTTTCAATCTTGTTTTTTCCTAAAAAATCCGCGGATCTGCTTTGGAATTCCTTGGTTGCCTGTTCGATCAAGGAAACCTCCTTGACAACCTCCTTGACAGGTGAATCTTATAGGTATTGTCCAAGGACTTTCCACACGCCCAGAACTCATCACGGCAAAGGTGAAAGGAAAGATCTAAAGCAAAGCATCTTGATCGACTGAAGCTGCTGTTCCTGCTCTTAACACACAACACTGCTTCTCTAAGATCCGATAGGTCAGTGCTTCTTCTTGTCCATACAAACTTTCACTTTGTTTGTTCTCCACAGATTTCGCTTGTTCTTAAGTCAGTGCGAGAGCATTGGCTGCAGTAAAAAGAGACTGCAAAAGTAGCCAAAGTTAGCATTTATCCTTAAGCTAATGTATGACTTATTTTGAACTCATGGCCTTTGATCATCTGCTCAAACTTCCCGACTTGCTGCTCTTGACTGCAGATCAAAGAGGAGCTGCCACTGCTCGTTCTGATTCTTCTTGCCAAGGACCACCGTAAGCTCTTGCAGAAGCGAGAAACACTACGGAGCCAGCCAACCTATACAGCACAGCGGCCGTTGTCCTCCAAGTCCTCCGAGTCCTCCAAAGGTCATCATTCTGGGCCATCTGAGTGACATAGCTTTTAGCCAACCCAGACATCCTCTAACCAAGTAGCCCTTGAATTCAGGACCATCGGCAGCTGATTTTATGAGAAGGAACTCATTCTTTTACCGACTTCTGACCCACTCATAAAAAAATGCTCCCTTTTTTATCAACAC